AGAGTGTAGACTCTATGAGGCCAGTGAGTCCACTGTCTTACCTGTCTTGTTAACCTCATTGCCTAGTGTAGTGCCTGCTATATTCGGGCACATATACATGTTTCTGAAATGAATGAATAATTGATCTGTGTATCCATTTATCAGTTCCCGTTGTTCTAGACCACGTGGTAGGTGCAGAGAATAGAGTATTAATGGACGAGACTCCCTGCCTTTAAGGCACTCTGCGGCTGTTTGGCGATTAGCATGCAGGTAACTATAAGTGAGAATGGAATAGCTGCTATCAAAATGAAATAAAGAGGAAGGTGTGCTTACTTTCCAGTGGGTGGTGGAGGAAGGAGGATGCATCAGGAAAGGCTTCCTAGAGAAAGCGGTGTTCGGACAGGGGCCTGTTGAAGCAGTAGGACTTATGCACAGACAGTATGAGAGGAGGTGCCTAGGCCAGAGAGACTGCCCACACAAGGGCACAGAGGGTGACGTCATGAGGGCTATTTGTTAATTTCATTATGAAAAATTTCCAGTACGCACAGAAAAAGAGTGTGTCACTTGTTTTACCTTCCCTTTTGTGGTTGCTGCCGAAGAAGGCTTTTTTCATTTGATGTTTGTTTACTCTGCCTGATTGCCTCGTGTCTCCATCTGCCTCAGAGCCCCCACTATGTCTGTTTGAGTCTCTCCACATTGTCAGTCCCCTTGACTGACTTTGCAGATTCACATCTGGCAGGCTCTGAGGCCAGGAAGATGCCTGGAGGTTTCAGGCATTTGGCTGGACAGGCAGGAGCCTTCAGTGACTATCTCCAGCTGACAGGTCCCTGGGCAGAGGACTGACTGGCTCCTGAGCCTGGGGTGAGCATGGAGAGGGGGTGCTGGCAGCAGACACCGTGTACACTGTCATCTGCTGTTGGAAGGCATCAAACGGCTGCTGCCTAGGGAGGTGGGAGAGAGAGGTAGGACAGAAAGGGGACAGAACCAACTGCCTGCGGCCTGGATGCTGCTGGCTCTGTGCTGGCCAGCTTTGCCTGCAGCTTCTTTTGGACACACACAGAGCTGGGCTGGCAGGTGGCACTCTCACCGATGATGCCTGGCTGCAGCTGCACTCCGTGCCTCTCAGCAGGCAGCTCCTCCCCGATGTGTTGGCAGCAAAAACTCAATCTCCGGGAGCTCCGGGGGCTGCTTCAGAATCACTCTGGTCTGGAGGCCTGTGGAGACCAGTGAAGGTGTGGGAGGCCAGGTCTTCAGTACAACTTGAGACCTTCTTCCCTGCCCTTGCCCTCCCTCTGGTAGATCAGCAAATAAACTCTCAAGTGTAAATTTCCTTATCACGGGAACACAGAAACGTGGAAGCACCCATGAGTCCTCTATTCCACCCCTGCAGGGCTGCCCCTCCTTCAAAGAAAAGTTCTTAGGAAAGATGAGCGAGGACCTCCTCTAAGTAAAAAGCTTTTAATCATTGTTTTCAATGGTTACTCAATGTACCACTCGATATATGTACCATAATTTTGTTAATTACATAAATATTACATGAATTCATTCTGATTATTAAAATGCTTACCACGTAAACAGATATTTCCACTGCACATTCCCTTAACCTCACCCTGTCCCAGAAATAAGTAGCTTGAATCAGTTGGGTGCCAGGGGTCCAGGAGCGTGTTGAGGGCTTCACTTCTCATCAGGGTGGGCGTGGGCAAGAGGAAAGCCTTTGCCCAGTGGATTCTTGTCCTCATGATGGGCTGGGTGAGGAGTAGATAAGAAATGCTAGAGCGGGAAAGAGGCAGCATGAGGAAGGACAAGTGGATGCTTGGTCAACCAGCTGGCCATCAACCCAATGTGGCCCAAACCCCAGACTCAGATCTGGGGTGAAGCCAGTCCTAGATCCTCACCACTTAGAGTTGTCTTAAAGTGTCACCCAATTGTCCATAGCACCCCAAGCACTTCCCACATGCCATTTTTTCAATAGGGTGGATGGAGATGTCGGGGGAGAAGGCTTCAGACCCTTGCACCACTGCTACAGGATCAGACCCTTACAGGCAAAAGTCATCCTTGATTGCTTATTATTCATGGATAAACAGGTAATTTGAGAAAAGGTGATGAGGAAGAATGCATAATGTGTCCTGTCCCTCCTTTTTCTTATCCCTGCAACACAATGAACTCTGCTTACAAAGCACATCATGACGCTTAGGAAGTGGTATTTTTGTGTCCAGACCATGCCCCTGTCCTCTGTTATACATGTTGGATCTCATACATAAAATAAATAGTAAATTATCTCATAAAAATTCCATGATTTTGGTGGGAAGCACATCATGACGCTTAGGAAGTGGTATCTTTGTGTCCAGACCATGCCCCTGTCCTCTGTTGTACATGTTGGATCTCATACATAAAATAAATAGTAGTAAATTATCTCATAAAAATTCCATGATTTTGGTGGTTTCATGCTCTAAGATGTCACAGATTTGATTCTCCCAATAGATAGGGACAAGGCTTCACAATTGTGGGGTCCTCCTAAGTTTTGTGGACTCTGACTAGAACCCCCACTCTGCACAACTCACTGGGAACCAGGGCCAAAGGTCTAGTCCTGATAAATAGGGTAAGCTTTTACTTTTTTTTTTCTTTTTTTCTAGAAGAAGATTCTGTGGTCCCTACGGAACCTGGCCCTTTGTCTATAAAATTTGGTTGGAGTAAGTCCAGTGTCTTTTCTGAACTCTTCCATGTCCAGAAATAGCCAACTTTCTATCATACAAGCTTTAATTCAGCCAGGATATTATCTGGACAACATCAAAAATCAATTTTTAGGTAAACTAATTTTTGGTAGGGGACAGAAATAGTTTATAATTATTCAGCCCCAGTTTCTACACATTTTCCACAATTTTTCTATAGACTTCTGTCATGATGAGCTCCCTGCATTGGCCTGACCCAGGTTTCCCTGAAACGAGTGCCGGGTGTCCAGCAGGAGCGGAGCAGAATGGTTACAGTCAAGCCTGGGTGGCCTGGGATGAGTTCCTGGCTGCTGTTAATGGGCTAATTCCTTAACCTCTTTGCCTCAGTGTCCACATCTGTAAAATGAAGGTAATAATGACACCTACGTCATCATTTGTGGGAATACTAAGAGTGTTGATACATATAAAGTACTTAATTTGGTGCCCGGCAATGGAAAGAGATTTAGGTGTCAGCTAGCATCTTGCCCCATGCATGTGCCATACTCGTGGGTGGCACATGCATATGGTAAGTGAATTCTCTGGCCACTTCTCATTGCTCTGCATCAGGTAACACCACAGGAAGCTGGGACATTTGTCTGGTGGAATGAAGGATGATTTGCATGTCTGGAAGAGGAAAGTGGTCTCTGGCCCACAGAGATGCATAGAAAACCCAATCCATTCATTTTGGGGCCCAAAAGTTCCATTTCACAAGGCACAAGGAAGCTACCATCTTGTGTGGAGTCAAAGTGGATTTTCCTTTGTGAGCTATGATTGAACTTGAGAGCTAGGGTGTAAGTGGGAAGCAAAGGAGGCATGTCTCCTGCATGCTGAAGGCAGTCCGGTCCTCTTCCAGGAGTCTCTTATTCATCCAGAAATATTTGTTGAGCACCTACAATATGCCATGCACTGTTGCACATCCTGAATATATAGCAACAAACAAAACAGACAGGTCTTTGAGGTCTTAGAACTTCCATCATCAAGATCCAACACATGCTAACATTCTATGAGAATTTGTCATTAATCTGATGCCTCTTCTTCAGTAGGATGACCCTGCACAACCACAAGATCTGAATTGCCCTGTGAGTCACCAAACTCAACGTGATGGCCACCACAGTTGTGGTGAAGTTTGCATGTTGTTGCATCCTAATACTTTTTCTGAAAATAGATAGTGCATGTAAGACATCTATATTTTCCATAAATATATATTTTTTGTTAATCCTCACCTGAGGATATTTTTCCATTGACTTTTTAGAGAGAGTGGAAGGGAGAGGGAGAGGGGAAGAGAGAGAGAGAGAGAGAGAGAGAGAGAGAGAGAGAGAGAGAGAGGAGAGGAACATCGATGTGAGAGAGACACATCGATTGGTTGCCTCCCACATGGGCTGGACCAGAGCTGGAGATCGAGCTTGCAACCGAGGTACATGCCCTTGACCAGGATCAAACCTGGGACCCTTCAGTCCATGGTCCAACGCTCTCTCCACTGAGCCAAACCGTCTAGGGCTTCCATAAATATTTAATTGACCTGAATGGCCTGTTCTGAGACCACACAGAAAAATACATACCTTTACTCCACAGGAAATATTTGTATGGTTTTGTTGGGTTTCACTTGTTTATATGTTTTGCTTGTATGCATCCTTTGTTCCCTCACCAACTGTTATGTCCATCAGGTGAGGAGCCTCCTTAACCAGTACACACCCTGCTGATGACATCGCTCCACCAGCTCTGGTCCTGAGGATGGAGGTTCCAGTCAGGTGAAAGGGAGGAAAGATCTTGTCTGCTGCCTCAGATCTTGTCTACGGCAAAGCCCTCGCCTGGGACCCTCTGATAGTCAGAGGAAGAGTCAGGGGAATGAGGTCAGGACACATTCATCCCTCCTGAGGTTCTCTCCGCTTCTGTGAAATGACCTGATGGGGTGGAAGCTCTCCAGATTTCCTTTCAACACTGGTCTCTGCTTCCAGGTTTCCTGGGCAGAAGGCAGGGCAGGATTTGGGAGCTGTTCTTTTTGACTTGAAGGACTCCCATCTGCAAAGAAGCCAAGAAGTGGCCAGCAGTCCCAAGGCTTCATAAACACACACACACACACACACACAAACATACACACACACACACATACACACATACACACACACACACCACACACACACACACCTGCCATACCTCATCTATACCTTCAAAGCAGAAATAAAAACACCCTTGATTTCTTGCTATGAGGAGACTTAGGGGTGGAGAAGACACAGGCAAGGAGAGGCAGGGTTCCCACAGAGAGAGGAGGGGGAAGAGGAAGGGAAGCTCACATATGGAAAAGGACACTAGTGGTAGGGAAAGAAATTTTATTTTCAAGCTTTTAAGAGAATAATACAAACAACAGAGAGTTTTAAAAAACCCTAAAAACTGGTTTAAAAAAGTATTTGACAGTGTCCCTTGAATACCTATGGATGATGCAGCCATTGTGCAATGACAACAAGAAACTCTGCAGGTGGCCACCCAGTGGCCTTCCCTGACAGGGTCCCAGGAACCAGTGGGCAGGCTCAAGGGACAGTGCTCCCTGCCAGGGTCCCTGGACCAGCCTTGGTGCTTGGGAAGGACCAGGGAGCACTAGCACTGAGGGCTTAGCCAAACTGCCCTCGGGGAGGGTCCTCAGCAGCAAGGAATACTTAGACTGGTCTTACTCCACTCCACTGGCTGGGATACATCCAGCCAACTCCCTCCCACTCGCTGTAGCAGCTTTCAGCACATGCCTAGCAAGGTGGGCCATGGGTGGGTGGGCAGTAGGGAAGTCACTTCTGGATTGACAGCTTTTGAAGGCTGAAGCCACAGCAGCAGGACTGTGCTTGAGATGCCCATGGGAAATCTGTACTTTTCTCTAGTTTGTGTGTGTGTGTGTGTGTGTGTGTGTGTGTGTGTGTGTGTGTCCTGTAAACATCTTTGAGCCAAATCACCATAAAATAAAGTAACAAGGGCACAAAAAGACATCCAACTCCAAACTTAAGCCCTCGTTGAGCCCACCTGAAATTGGGAGTTCCACTTTGGAAGGTGTGGAAAGGAGGAAAATCCCCCCTCCCTCTGGCCGCTCACACCAACACCTCCCTCCCTACACGGTCCACCCAGAGTCGCTAAAGCTATCTGAGTTAGAAATCCTGCCCATCCGGTGAGCTCAGGGGCTGCAAAAACTGAATGCCATCCCTGCCAGTCCTCACCCGGCCCTCTCCCTCCCCCAACAGCCAGTGGGTCAGGCCCAGAGAGGAACCAAAACAAACTCAAGGGTAAAGCAGGGCAGGCTGCAGGTGCTTTTCCTTCTGTGCCCTTTGCATTGCTTCTCCCTCCACACGTGCACAGGTGGGCACCATCCCCAGGCCAGCCTTGCCCTCTGCAGCCTCCACTTCCCCCAGGTGTTTGACCATGGTACACGTTGTGCCCGGTGTTGTTGTATTTTGTTGGGTTCAGTCTGTATTGCACTTTGTTGTTGAGTTTGTATTGGTTTTCCTTGCTCTTGTTGGAGAATGGTATTGACTGATTGGAAACCACAAACCACACCAACATCACTCACTGCAGCTCTAATCCTGCCCCCAGACCCCTTAAAGCCCCCCACCCTCTGCCTGCCCTCTGCTCTGGCGCCTGGGGAGCCACCTGGCCTCCCCACACCTGCTCCCCAGACCAGCATCCCATCGGGCCCAGCCCCTTCCCAGCCCACCCTCCGCTGTTGTGCATGGTCACGGCTGCCCTTCCAGGCACTCCTTTCACACTGTTGTGACCCTCATGACGAGCTCTCGGCTGCCGCCCTGGGTGCTCCGCTGTTCATGAGGTCTTAGGTGACTCAAGATGTGCAGGATGGTGTAAGCACAGTGGTGATCAGAGGGAGGGCCTGAGGGCTGGCTGGCTGCCCGGGCAGGGCCTTCCTCGGGGGCAGGGGTGTCCGCAGTCTCCTCTTCCGAGGAGAGGCCATTGGCCTGAGTGGATGAGGAGGTCCGGGGGTTTGTCCTGCCTCCTGACTTTTGATCCTCCAGGTCTTTTGTCTTGTCATAGTTCAACACTTTCCACTGCTGGTTGACAGCCTGCCACCGTTTAAAGATGCGGTACACGGAGGGTCCCTCGTGGATGATGAGACCTGAGGCCACAGGGAGAAGAAGGAAAGCCACGTAAGGAAAGCAAGTCATAGTCTCCCATTTATAAATGAAGGTAGGTGGGGGGCAAGCTGGATTTCTATAGTTTGATTTGTTCTTTTCAAACCTGCCTTTCAGCTCTGAGCCACATGGTTCCCATCCCTACATTCCTAGGCTCAACGAGTCTTTAGTGGGTGCAAACCACAACAAGTCCACAGAATAGCTGAGAACTTCCATGTGATACCTTTGTCTACCTCTACTCTACCCACCCACATTGTGACTTCACAAGATCCAAATTTGTTGTCTTTGAGGTATAATATAAATATGGGGTGGGGCAAAAGTAGGGTTACAGTTGTTTGATAAAATAATACAATAATTAATAAATACTAATACAAGAATAAACTCTGTTTTGAGTACTCACAATTGTAAACTTACTTTTCCCCCACCCTGTATTTTTTCCTCCCTCTACCATGTATCCATGGCACCCTGTACTTAGCTGATGTTGAATGAATCGTATGCTTTTAAAGACACCATGAAAGAAACCCCATGGTCATGCCATACCTGCTGAATGATGTCTGAAATTCCACTAGTTAACTCTTTGTACAACTAGCCCAATGCTACTGAAATACACACACCCCTGGGAGACTTGGACACAGTTATATTGGCCAGTGGGAAGGTGGAGTCAGAAACAAGCCATGTCAGACAACCAGGCAAATAAATATTAATTATGTACCTACTGTGTGCCAAGTACTAGAGATACTGCAGTGAGAAGGACAGGAAGAATCCTGCCCTCAGAGCTTACATTCATTCTAGTGGAGAGACACGTAACAGTCATGTAAACAAGCCAGTACGACTATTTCAGGTACTGAGAAAATGCTATGGGGAATGTAAAATAGGGTTAAATAGCCACTGGCTGCAGGTTCTAAAAGATCCTGTTTAGCAGGAAGGTGGTGGGAGATGATATTTGAATTGAGACCATGCAAAGGCCTGAAAGGAGAGCATTCAGTGGTAGGAACTGCAAGTGCAAAGGCTGGGGGTTGGGAATGATGCAAAGGGTCAGAAAAGAGGTCAGTGTGGCCAGGGTGTAGTGAATGAGTGGGGAAGTTCAGGGAGATAAGTGCAGGGGCCAATCAATGATAGGGCCCTGTAGGCCATGACAAGGAACTTGTATTTTATCCTAATATAATGGGAAACCATTGAAGGGTTTAGTAGGAGGAATAATGTGATCTGATTTACCCTCCAGAAAGATCATCTGGCTCCTGTGAAGCAATAAACTGAGGAGGACAAGAGTAGGAGCAGGACACAAGAGGAAATGATGGTGGCCTAGACCAGGGTGATAGCAGTGGAGATAGTGAGAACCATTGGAATCAGGATGTATGCTGGGAGTAGAGCTGACAGGTGTGGTGTGGATCAAGAGAAAAATCTGAACAACTGGAAGGTTTTGGCCTTAGCTGTTAGTAATGGTGCCATTTATCAAGATGTAAAAGGCACAAGGGTAGGGGGTGTGGATTTGTGTGGTGGTGGCAGTGACTCTATTAGTTTCCTACGACTGCTGTAACAAATGACCACACATTTAGTGGCTAAAAATAACCCAAATGTATTCTTCTATAGGTCTAGAGATCAGAAGTCTAAAATCAGTCTCGCCAGGCTGATCTGAAGGTGTCAGCAAGGCTGGTTCTTCCTGGTGGCTTTGAGTGGAGAACCCATTTCCATGCCTTCTTCAGCTTCCAGAAGTCGCCTTGCTTCTTCCTTGCATCAGTCTACCTCTTTCTTTCACTGTCACATCTCCTACTATTCTTTTGTCTTCAAGCCTCCCTCTGCCCCCCTCTCATAAGAACACTGTGATTACTACATTGGGCCCACCTGAGTCATCAGGATTATCACCCCATGTCAAGATTCTTAAATTAATCACATTTGCAAAATCCCTTTTACCATAAGGCAACATTAATAGATTCCAGGGATTATGACCTGGATGTCTTTGGGGGCCATTATTTAGCCATAGTGATAGTTATACTAGTATTTTATTCATGGTACATTTAAGATGTCTGATAGAAATCTCACTGGAAGGACCAGCATGATAGTTGAACATATAAGTCTGAAGCTTAGGGAGGGGTCTGGCCTGGAGATAGAAGTCATCAGTGCAGAGGTAGAATGTGAAGCCTTAGGAATGGCCCAGATCTCCTGGAGAGAGATGGTAAACAAGTGAAGAGAGCCAATGACAGAGGCTCTGTGAGCCTTCTGATGTATAGAGGTTTGGTGGCAATTTGATGGAGGTGAAATCAGCAAAGGAGGCTCTGAATGAGCAATAAATGGTGTAGAAGCAAGACCCGCAAGTAGAGACCCAGATGTCTAGAGAAATATATATTTCAGGAAAGAGAGTGTGATAATTTGAAAATGCTGTTGAGAGGTCAGTGAAATGAGGAGTGACCATTGGCTTGGTGGGCACCTTGAAGGTAAGATGATAGAAGTGCAAGTGCATCTTTTTCTTCCATGAAGTCATCAGCTAAGGGGGAAGGGATAAGGGAGGAAGTGCTGACAATTTGTGGAGAAAAGAGAAAGTGAGAAATAGTTATCTTGGAAAGTGGGAGAGTGGATTTGCAAGGGAGATGTGGCAGAATCATCTGATGGTGTTGGGTGTCCATTTGAAATTTGTGGCCATAAGTTTGAAATGAGTCTAGTCATTGGTTATGTGATTTTTTTCCTACACTTTCAACTGCTTGCTAGGTGTATTTGTGGAATAAGAAGAGAGCTGGATGTAATCAGTATTGACTATTTCTCCAGGAAAGTAAGGCAGGAGAGAAGGTGAGAGTTCTGGATGATTGCAAGGGAGTAGTTATTACCCTGGGGAGGAGAGAAGTGAAGACACAAATAAAATAAAGAATAATGAAAAAGGAAAGTTTGTGTTTTTTTTTGGTTTTTTTTAATCTTTTTTAAAATGTGATTATATCACATGTTACTTTAAATTGCAGACTTTTTTTAATATATTTTATTGATTTTTTACAGAGAGGAAGGGAGAGAGATAGAGAGTTAGAAACATCGATCAGCTGCCTCCTGCACATCTCCTACTGGGGATGTGCCCGCAACCCAGGTACATGCCCTTGACCGGAATCGAACCTGGGACCTTTCAGTCCGCAGGCCGACGCTCTATCCACTGAGCCAAACCGGTTTCAGCGAAAAAGGAAAGTTTTAGGGTCAATGACAAGAGGTCTCCATGAAGTTGGAGAATTGCCTTTTCAGCTTCTAGAAGTCACCTGTGTTCCTTGCCTCTTTTATGCATCAGCCAAGGAATCAGTAAACCACAAAGGTGGGGGCAGAGAGGGATGATCATCAGAGAGTGAAATGTTTAAATCCAGACTTTGGGAGTGGTGTGGTTCTTGGTGAGGATAAGGTCTAGAGGTTGACCATTTGAGTGGGGCTGAGGTGAGCGGGAGGAAAATTATTTTGGAGTAATGAGGAGTTGGACATATTTTCTGCATCAGCCATCTCAGTGCTATCAGACCAAATGCCCTTTTTTAATAACAAATATATTTTAATATCCCCTTTTTTATCCTCAAATGAGGTTCATAAGATAAGTCACGATGGTTGAGATATCTACACTAATAAAAGACAAAGATGCTAATTGACCGTACCTTTGCTACGCCCAAGCTACGCCCGCCAGCCAATCGGAGCGACTATATGCAAATTAACCCAACCAAGATGGCGGCTAGCAGCCACGGAGCTGGAGCAAGCAGGAGGCTTGGTTGCCCCAGCGATGGAGGAAGCCAAGCTTCCCTCCTGCCCTGGCCGGCTGTGGCCTCTGCAAAAGGCAACAAAGTTTCAATTATAGAAGCTAAATAAATCC